AATTCAATTGATAAAGATGTTGGAATTTGTATTAATGATAAGAAAAATGTAAATAAAGATAAATAAATTCTATTAAAAAATTTTTATTAAATTGATTAAAAATTTTTTTAAACTTTATTTATTAAATTTATTAATTTATCACAATACATTCCTATCATATCACAACCTTCATTTATAGTTCTTTTAATCACACTAAAATTTTGATTTTCTTCATTTTTACTTTGAACAGTAAAAATAGCTAATTCCTCTGATGGATGTGGAATTGTGTATCCACAAAATTCAATATTGTCAATATGAGTGTCAATAACATGTTTTAAAGGATTTAATAAAGTGTGATCTTCATTTTCAATAGAAAATGAACATTCATTAAGAATTTTAATCTTTCTACTCATTTTTAAATAAAATTTTATAATTTTTTTAAATAATTTTATTAAAATTATTCACATTTAATAATATCAGATTTCACACAAAGACCTTTAAAGAAATCAGAAACGGTTGATAAGACAGATTCTTCAATGGTCATAGATAAATCAGCCTGGAATATTCTCATTGTCCTCTTAGTCCAACTAGCTGTTCCATTACCACATGGTGACTTTCTAGATGTATACTCAGCTTGAGCTGGTTTTAAATTGGTAGTCAACTTGAAATTCTCTAAACCGAGATTTTTAAGAAACTTTTCAACCATCAATGAAGATTCTTTAAGCTTACTTTTATCTAAAGATGAGAATTTTACAGATATATTTACAGTATTTTCTGTTTCAACTACTTGAACAGGTGTTTGATTTAATTTATTACTTTCTTCTACTTGTAACATTTTGGGGTTTAAAATTTTTTAAAAATTTTATTTAACCGATATTTTATCTCCTATTGCAATAAGTTCTTCTATAAGAATTTCATCTTCTATATTTAAATTATAATCAAGTATCTTTAGAATATCTCGTTCCAATTTATTTACTTTCGTAATCGTTATATTAAGACCTTTTATAATTTGTGTATTTGATCGTTTATAATCATCATTATATTTAATTGATATTACTATGCAGGTTATGAAATACTCGTTTATAACTGATACTTCTTCTAGATTTAGTTTTTTTAAATAGATATATGCGTACAATAAGTCAGTGAATGTAAATTCTTTCAGTTTCTTTGTGCTGTGGGCAGATAAATTCATATTACTGCCATGAACATTATATTTAGAAAGAACATTATTAAGAAAATTCATCTTATTCTTAGCAGTATCAAAAATACCTTTTACGTACATTTCAAGGTAAACATCTACTACATTATTTTCTAACACATTATTATACTTCTGAATATCATTGTCATAAATGGACATCTTTGTTCTTTTTATTTTCATACAAAAAACAAAATAATTCTTTAAAAACAATCGTCTAATTAAATTTATTATCTCATAATCTTTCAAGTAAATTAGTTAACTCATGACTTGATGAAAATATTAATTTTAGTAAAAGTTTGAATTCATAATTTTCTAAGTAAATTCTCTTTTTTCTATATAAATTAGATATCTCAGTTAAGCTTAAATTAAACATATCATATACTGTTATAAATCTATTATATGAATTCATATTTTTTTTACTAACACCAAATGATAATTCAATTAGATAATCAGCTAGTTCCTTAATTTGGATTTTATCACTTTCTGAATAATAATGAATAGACAATACAAATTTAGTAAATTCATTAAATAAACTATCAAAGAAGGAAATATAAAATTCAAAGGTTTCTTTTTGTGTTAAACAAACCTCTAAATTTTCTTTTAAATCATGCTTTAATCCTTTAAGTAACATCTTATTAATTATTACAGTATTACTAAGATCAATGGTAAGTATAGTTGAGTGTTTGATTATCTTATTAAAAATATCCTTTTTTATTTCATAAAAATAAGAAACATTTTGATTGGATTCATTTAAGAAATTAGAA